CAATAATGTCAAGTGCTATCTCCTGAGAAGCAGCCTGGTACCTCAAGGGAAATGGTTCTCTTTCCTAAAGTGGATTTTGACTGCATTGTCCCTAAGAACTGCTATGGTTATTGGAAGGCGTAAGTGTTTGTGTGTGTGTGTGTGTGTGTGTGTGTGTGTGTGTGTGTGTGTGTGTGTTCAGTTGGGAAGGAAGCAGTTCTTCACCTCAAACAAGCAGAGATCTCAAGGACATGTGAAGCTCCAGAACCATCTTTTCACCTTGCTGGCTGAGACAGCCAAAGCCCACCTGCAATTTCAACCAAAGTCTCCACTCACATTTAACACACATGGCAGAAGCTGTGGAGCTGGAATTCTTGCTTCTGAGCACCTGATGCTCTAGTTCAGAGAGTGGACAGCTCCCTTAGGGCAAGGTCCCCTGTCAGGAGTAGGGTCTGGCAGGGGAAGGACCCAAAGAAAAAACATCCTGGGAGCCCTCACGCAGAGCAGACGCCAAGTGGAAGTTAGGAGTCCCAAGGTTTAAGCAGAGTAAGTAAAAGGGAGGAGCCGAAGCAGGATTGCAAGGGAAAGGGAGGAGGCAGAATTGAGAAGGAGGAACTGTTAGAACCAGCGGAGCAGACCTGGCAAGCACCAGTCCAGCTGGATGCTCCAAAGTAGTGGGCTCCTTTAGAGGGCCCCAAGTTAGATAGCAGCTAAGTTCACTTTACAACACCACATCCACGAGCCCTAGGTACATTATTTTGAAGGTGATTTGGCCATAGCCATCCATTTAAATCATTTGATGCAGGGCACAAATGTATTTGCCTCAAACACAAAATATATATTCACCCAAGGTTGTTCACTGCAGTATTGTTTGAAAGAGCAAAATGCTGGAGGCAGCTTAAATGTTCATGAGTAGGAGATTGACTAAATAAATTATGGAATAGCCACACAATGGCATACTGTACAGTTACTTTTAAAAGGGAGAGAGAGAATAAAGCAGATCTTTTGTATACCTCTCAGAACAGACTCAAAGACTATTTTTAAAAATGAAAAAAGAAGGGGGAGAGACGAAGGAAGAAAAGAAGCACAGTTTGAAGGACAGTATAGAGTGCTGTTCCATTTGTGGTAAACACTTGGAAGGGAAATTTATAAATGTTTAAGAAAAATTGTAAGTCCATAGGAAAATTCTGGAAGGAAACATAAGGCTGTAAAGGGAAAGGATGTCCTGAATGAACTCTACAGATACAGGGTTTGTGGACTCCACCCCCACCCCAGACTCCAGAACTACAAATCCCAGCAACATCAAAGAGAAGCATGCTGGGACCTGAGGGTGGAGTTAGGCAGCCATGTTTGGATATAAAACTGGACATGTGGGCTTAGGGGCTCTCTTGGCCTCCTAGATTGTGGCTTGTCTCTTGGCTTTTTGCTGGCTTTCAACGTGCTATTGGGGTTTCAGGTCAGCAGAACTGGGAGGACGCATTAACCAACTTCTCTCTCCCTGTCTTTCCCTGAGTTATTCATTTCCCTTTCTCTAGTAAATAAACCCTTTATTAACCTTTTTATGTGTGCCTGCAGTTGAGTCTTAAGCATACAGATGAGGACACACTGTCAGTCAACTCAGTGTGAATTGGGCTATATGGGGAACAGATAAGAGAAGCACAGGGAAGAGTTGCTTTTTTACTTTTCACTTCATAACCTCCTGTCTCTTTAAATTTATGAATATGTGTTATTTTTATAATTTTTATAGTCTTTTTGTTTTTATAATTTAAAGAATAGATAATTTAATGATTAAAACAAAAACACTCTGGTGCTAAAATTCAGAGAAAAGTTATTTCTATGAAGACAGCCATTCCCCAACAAGGTCAGAAAAATGAAGAGTAGCTAGTCACAAAACACAGCAGTCAGGCGGTCATGGCTTACTCCAATTTCACATATGAAAATAAATGCCTATCGCACCGGATTAGAATCCTCAATAAGATTTATAGCAAGCACCCACGCTTGCAGGCATTGAGGGGGTAAGTATTCAATAGTAGTGGCCATCACCAGCCCTCCCACTGTCCATCCTGACTGTGTCTCATGCATGAGACAGTGGGCTGTCAAGGACAGCTACTACAGATGCAGGCTGTATCCGCCCAGGTGAGCCCCCATCCGGACCACCATCAGTCGTTGAAGGAGGGAGACAGTCCTCCATCACAGAGCCGTGTCCTCAAGATCTGTACCTTCAAGCAAGATCAGTCCTAGACCATGGCTTCCCTCGTAAAGTTTCCATTTCAGAGAGACTCCTACCCATACCTGTATTTCCCCCACAGAGACCCTATCCCATCTTGAACAAATTGGCTTGATGAGGAGGAGCTAGAGACTTCACACTTTTGCCTTCCCTCTCCTGTTCTCTGTGTGCAGATTGCCCATCCTAAGGCCTTTTTTTTTTTTTTTTTTTTTTTTTTTAAGAAACACACCTAGACTGCCAAAGCCTAAGGCCTTTTGTGTTCTCTCAAAAGAAATGGTGCCACAACCTGGCTCTGAGGTCCAGACAGTGGTTACCAGAAGGGAAAGCTGAGGGAAAATGGGAAGCTGAAGGAAAATAGGTAAACTGGGGACCTCCCTGGTGGCGCAGCGGGTTAAAGCACAGCACTGAGAATCTAAAGCCGCTTCTGCATGAGTTCAATTCCCGCCTGCCCCGGAGGTGACCACATGGCGTGGCAGACCTCTCCTGACTCGCCCGCTGCTCCCCTCAGCAGTGTACTTTGTCGATCTGCCTGTTCTGCTCCCCACTCTGTCTCTGGTGAAGCCTCTCGACGCCCCTGAGCCTCTGGCCTGTACCCCAGTTCTGTATGCACAAATAAATAAATCTTTAAAAAAAAAATAGGTAAACTGGGTAAAAAGGGCCAACTATATGGAGAAGGACAGAATCAGACTTTTAGTGATGAACTTAATTAGTATATACATAAATTTATAATGATGCATATCTGAAATGTATTAATGCTATAATACAATTTTGTAGCAATTTAAATATTTTAATTAAAAATATGCAAAAAATCAACTTTGAATAGACCCCTCAAGCAAAAGCAAAAAAATAATGCCAGAGGTCAAATATGCACCCTGCCCAAACAGGAGAGGCATGGCATGCTCACCCAGAGACAAGGCTATCCCCCGCCCTTCCCCCAAGCTCAGTTCCTGGAGGTAAGAAGCAGGAGGTGAGGAGAGATCAGATATGCCTGGGGACTGTCCTTGGCAGCCAAGCCCTGAGGACCCCTGCTGCAGTCCACACCCCCTCCCCCAGCCCCATGGGCCAGGCACGCTGGGAAGAGTTCCCGCAGTGCATTAGCTCAGAACAGGGGAAGAAGGAGAGGAACATCACACTACCCAGCTCCTCTTGTCAATAATTCATGAGGTTCAGACTGATGGGCACCAGTCAGAGTCAGTTTTCCTGGACACCAGGGAAATTAGACTTAAGCTCTCTTGTCTCATCAGAATGTACTGAGCACCAAAGCTGATTGCTGCTGCTCTACCTTCTCAGGTGAGAAACACAGAGAATGTGGCAGGTACCTGTTGGTGTGCTTGCTCCCTGGACATCCACTTTTGAACAGTGAAATCCTTTGTGTGGGCACCTGGCTGACCTGCACAGATACTCAATGAATCTTTCGCAAGTATGAACTCTATTAAACACCAACACCAGAACTGAATATCACAGATGAGAATTCTCTCTCCTCTATCTGTTGGGTCTGACGCCAGAACATCAATCTGATGGTTTCACCAATTACTAACGCTCTTCTCAACCGACCTGCTTTCATCATCGTTTCTTACTAGAAAGATTAACACTGAAATAAGGACGCATCCAGAATAAAGGTCGGACTGCTAGGTTAAGTGGGCTTCTCTTCACGAAACTCCTGTATCGCCTTCATTTTGCTCACTTTGCCCTGGCGCCAGTGAAACTTGACCACTCTACCTCTCGGCCTGGTATTTGGAGGCCACTGGTTTAAACCAATTGAGGTACTGGCAGTTGGGTCTGTGGGGCCTTTCTAGAGTATGCCATAAGGCCTCTAGATTTATTACTTCTCACAGAAACCCAGGAGGGAGATCATTTCAGCCCACTTGACAGAAGTGGAGGCTGAAGTTTCAGATGCAGAATTTATAGCTGGTGAGGAATTTATTCATCATCTACTCCAGCATCCTCAATTTACAGCAAAGATGCTGGCCTGTGGCGGCAATAATAATTACTATATGGGGGCAATGATGCCTGTGCATTTGCTAGTTTACCCTTTATAAAGTGCTTTTATATTCAGCAAACATTTACTGAGCTAGGGTAGAGGTTAAGGCCTGGGGCTTAGTGATTACCCTTAACTGAACAAGCTTCGGCTCTCTGTAGTTCCACCACTGGTTGGGGGACCCTCTTGCCTGTTGCTATCATTTAGGCCTTGTAAAATGGGGATGTCTTCTTGGGAAGAGGCTGTCAGAGATTCTGCCCAGTCAGGATCTTTATCACTACCAGTGCTGGTTACCACGGTGATGGATTTGCCCTCAAGCCTGTGATGATAGAGATGGGGAGCCAGAGTGAAGAGCAGTGCAGGACTAAACCAGCTGCTGCACACATCTCTGTCCCAACTCCTCCGCCCTCACCCGTGACCCTCACTTGGGGAATTCTATGGGGACCACTTCCATAAACAGCATCAAAGCATTTGTCCTTATGTGGAGGAAGCCCCCCCTTGAGATTCTGGAAGGCAAAGCAACCAACTCAAAGTCCCCTCTCCCAAGAAAAGGCGTGGGCAAGCAGATCTGGGAGGAGGGATGGGTGCAAGGGCAGGCAGACCCGGAGCGCGGGTCGCGGCAGGGGGCAGGTGAGCGGCGGGGCGGGAAACCTGTCCGCCTGGGCAGAGGACAGCGGGGCGCGGCGGCCACGCGCCGGCAGGGGGCGCCCGCGGCCAGGTCTGTTTCCCCCGCGAAGGGCCCCCCCCAAGCCCCAGCCGGAGCAGTTCTGCTTGGAGGCGGCTGGAGGCGGGACGGGGCGGGGAGGCGACCCGCCCCTCTCCTCCCCTCTCTGTAAGCCACGGTCACCTCCTCAGGGCAGGGCGGCGCCGAACCCTAGACGACCCACCGGCGCCATGCAGAAGGCGGGGTTGTTGCGGGGTGTCTTTGCCCGAGTGTGGAAGTCTGTACGGATGGCCAGCTCCGGGGTGGCACGCCGGGACCCTCTTGCGAATAAAGTGGCCCTCGTAACGGCTTCCACCGACGGGTGAGTGCTGGGTCAGAGTCTCCGAGGCCCCCTGCTGCCTGGAAATTGGCACTAGCCTGTCCTTCACCTCCCCGGCCCCTGTCCTCAGGCCTCAAGGCGCGGCCAGAGGCGGAGCTGGGAAAAGAAGGAGCCACGTGGTCGACCTGCAGCCCCAGGAAAGTCCCAGGCCCAGGCCCCTCCAGTGTCAGTCTCTGGTCATTGCCTCCTCGGCTCAACTGCCCCACCTCTGTTTTGCCCCCATCAAGCTCGTGTCCAGTGCTCTGGGCTGCCCCAGTCACCGGCTCCACCTAGAGTCTGGGAAGACCAGAGCCAGAAATCCAAGAGAGCCCAAATTTCTTAAATCCCTTCCGACTGCTTCCATCTTCTATAGAAATATTCCAGACAAGCCTCCCAGAAGTCACCACCCCCTAGAAGTCACACAAAATCACGGGTCCAGATTTTTGTTGAGCTCAGCACATTGGACCTCCCGTGCCCAGGCTGTTTACCACCATCACTCCTGTCTACCCTGTATCTTATTCCCCCGGGTCTTTGCTAGCTGCCAGCTCTTCACAACTTCAAAACAGAAATGTTGCAAAAGGCTAATGGCTGCCAGTTGCTGCAGAGTGTAATCCTTCCTCCCTGGGGAGTGATGTAAACATTTACATTCCACCCTTCCTTTCACATACACCTCAAAACACAACTAAGGACCGAATTTTGAGATGATAGACTCAAAGGGGTGGTATTTGGGGGCAGGGGCGCGCTTGAGCCAAGTCACCCAATCAGGGAAGTGGCCTCAGCTACACCCCCAGTTTCTCTCCTACAGTGCGCGCTGGGTGCTGGACACTCCCCCTAGAGGCACCTGTGGGAGGTGATCGCAGATCCCGAGTTGAGTTGCTGAATGCCGAGGCTTAGGAAAAATCCGTAAACTGATGCCAAGATGTGCTAAGCAGATCTGCATGGTGATGGCTGAGGTGCGCCACTCACCCTATTCACACACAGCACAGACCCGCGGGGGTCACCCAGAGGGAGAGCTAGACTTCAACCCCAGGTGACTTTGGAGTCCACGCGCTCACCCTCATCCTGCTCTGGCCCTGACAATTTCTGTCTCTTCCTGCAGGATAGGCTTCGCCATCGCCCGGCGCCTGGCCCAGGACGGGGCCCACGTGGTGGTCAGCAGCCGGAAGCAGCAGAACGTGGACCGGGCAGTGGCTGCGCTGCAGGGGGAGGGGCTGAGCGTGACGGGCACCGTGTGCCACGTGGGGAAGGCGGAGGACCGGGAGCGGCTGGTGGCCACGGTAAGCAGCAAGGATGTGGGCACAGAGCCAGGAGGTGGCACAAGGCAGCAAGCCCCAGCCTCCTTCCATGCTTTACTGGATAACACTAGTGTGATCCAAAGCGGCACTTTTTTTTTTTAAGATTTATTTATTTATTCATACAGAAGTGGAGTACAAGCCAGAGGTGCAGGGGCGGTAAGAG